TCCTCCTCCTCCTCTTTTTCCTCCTCCCCCTTCTACTCCTCTTTTTTTTTTTTTTTTTTTTTTTTTGTTTTTTTTGTTTTTTTTCTTTTGCTTCTTCTTCCTTTCGTGTTCTCATAGAAATTCCGTGGCGTTCGCGAGCATTTGCCGACGTGGAACGTCTTGCCTAGCAAAGTACCACAATGTGCTACCACGCGACCATAAGTAAACGATGTACGAAGAGTAATGCGTTTTCTCGACGAGCGGAATGAAAATTGTCGTCTCTCTTGAAAATTTTCACATTTTCAGGCAATCCCTTTTATTTCCCACGGACTCTGTTTTCGTTTCCTTTCTTTTTTTTTTTTCTTTTTTTCTTTATATATATATATATTTTTTTTTTCTTTTTTTTTTTTTATCATTTTCTTTTTTATATATCCTTTATCTCAGTACTTTATTTAATATGATTCGATGTTATGCATATATAATGTGTGATATAATGTTCGTTTTTTTTTCTTTATTCCAGGGACAAAATCTTCAGATTGAATCTAAGCAATATCAGCCACTCGAATTGCGAGGTGAGTAGACATTATATGATTTTTGTTTTTTCTTTTTTTTTTCTTTTCTTTTTTCTCCTTGTTTTGTCTCTCTTTTTTTCTTTTTTTTTTTTTTTTTGGTTGTTATTTTTATTTTTACACCAACATTACTTTCACCGGTAGGAACTTTTTCGATTTATTACATTGGTCAACGAGAAAGTATACAAATGTAGGACCGCGTTGATCCGACGCAAACAATTGGCTATATTGCGGACGACCGTACTTATATTTCCTGCAGTAACTCGTATACACATGGGAGAACAAATATTTGTTGTGGAACGAAAAATCGTACGTTTCGAGCTTGCATGCTTTTTCATGCTGTATATGTATGTATCTTTTTAAAATCACTCGTATTGCATCGGTATTTATCGCCAATTTTATATTTCGAGATCGAATAATTATTATTTAACGTTGAAATTATTCTTCTTTTTAATTCGCAGAGAAAAATTTTGTTCGTGAAAGTGTATGATGTAGTAAAAAAAAGAAAAGAAAACAAAAATGAAAAGAAAAACAAAGAAGAGAAATGAAAACTAGAAATGAGACGCTTCGTCGTAAATCGTTTTCCATTGGTGCACTTCTATGGAAACGTCATTAGTATCAAACGTTGTTCTCCCTCGAAGAGGGAGTTTCGGGCTCGGTCGACGATAAAACCAGTCTCGATCGTAAATCGCAAAACTGCGTTGGTGCGTCCCCATAAAACTGTCAATCATGCATAGGCTAGCCGATGTCTCTGCGTCATCCGGACAGCTGACGCTTCTCCGTGAAACTCTCTGTGGAAGAAGCCAATCCCCATTTTTTCACGTTCGTTCAACCAACCTCTAGCCTCGAGATATATTTTTTCTCTTTTATTTTCAATTTTCTTTTAGTTCGATAGCATCAACGTATAAAGTTTGTTGGAAAGTATTTTGATCTATTTTGCCAAATATCTTTTCTTCTTTTTCTTCTTTTCTTTTATCGTTGAAATTAATCGTTGAAAAATTTTCGAATAAATAACTCGCCCAAATATCGATTCATGTTTTACATTGTCAATTTTGAACAAAAAATTCTCAACAACATCTCGAAACAAGATAATTTGTTTCGGATTAAACTGTTCGTTAACACCGATCATTCAATCAAAGCGATCGGAATTACGATACTAGGAAAGCCTCCTTCCTCTCTCTCTCTCTCTCTCTCTCTCTCTCTTTCTCTCTCTCTCTCTCTCTCTCTCTTTTTCTCTTCTCTTTCTCTCACATTTTACAATTTGGATACAATAACAACAACAACAACAACAACAATAACAACAGAGTAAATCTGGACGTTTCACTCGTAACCCATAGGATTTTTCACGAGTAGATGTACAAACGGCCCTTTGTGCGCTTTTCTCTATACTTATTCGCGAGCCTTTCGAAAACGTGCCAACACGTTTCGTCGAACGCACTCGATCGTGGAGATCCAATCGAAATTGCTTTAGCCCAAGGTCGACGATTCTATATAGGTAGTATATAGAAAAGAAGAGAGGTGGGAAGGGAGTAGCAACCCTGCCGATGCTCTTCGAATCGAGTAGAAACGGAAAATTGCTTTTTAACCCTCTCTCAGGGTGGTAGTCGTCCAAACGGTTTCACCCTTCTCCACTCTCTCTTTCTCTTTCTCTTTTTTTCTTTCTGTTCTAACACCAGTGGCTTCGCGAAAAGACCGAAATCCGATCGGTACTCGCAAACTCACGTTTGCCTCTTTTATTTTATTTTATTTTATCTCATCTTGTTCTTTTTTTCTTTTACTTTTTTTTTTTTTTTTTTTTTTGGCACGTTGTTCCTTCGAAAATGTTATCCAATCTCCGGTTTGTTCTTCCTCTTTCTAATTCTATTCTTTCTGTTTTTATATATATATATCTCTCTCTCTCTCGCTCTCTCTTTCTCTCTCTCTCTCTCTCTCTCTCTGATCTACGAAGGTGCATCGTCGTGACTCGATCCTTCGTTGTAGAATTTCCGTCTATTCGAAAAGAGAATTCAACTCGGCTTTCAAGCTCCTAATCTCTTCGGTTAACGAAAAGTCGTGATTTTTTTCAGAGATAAGAGGATAGAAATACTCGACGAAAGTATACTGAGTATAGTTAAGTATAGTCGGTTAAGTATCGACCCGTTTTACGAACATTCGATTCGAACGTAATTCTAGCGGGAGGTTTTTCTAAATTGGCCTCGTTGAATTGGAAAGCAGATTAGATCGAAGGGGAAACTTGGTTCTTGTGTTTAAAGTAAACGGCGTACTGATCGTGTCCACCCCGTCTTCACCCCCAAAACAAAGAAAATAAAAAAAAACAAGAAAGGAGAAAGAGAGAAAGAGAGAGAGAGAGAGAGAGAGAGAGAGAGAGAGAAAAGGAATGTGAAGAGTGAGAGTAAAGGAAAGTGAGAGAAAAAGAGAGAAGGGGGAGGGAGGGAGATAGAAATACCGTGTAAAGATGTCGTCTATGAGTCCCACGGGTGCAATTTCAAAGCGTCGGCAAGTAGTAGCGGAGAGAGGGCAAAGTTTTTCTCTCACAATAGTCTCGAATAGGTCGAATAGGTCGATAAAAGAATGGCGAAACGATGTTCCACGATGTCGAAGGGGAAGGAAAAAAAAGAAAAAAGAGAGAGAGAGAGAGAGAGAGAGAGAGGTGTGGTAAAGAATGGGAGGGGTTAGTGGGTTGAAGGAGGGACGGAAAGAATCATTCGAAAATTTGATCGTTCTTAAAACCTTTCCACCGCCATCTCACCACCTGTCACCAAACCGAAAACCGAAAACAGAAACTATATAAAAAAAGAAGGATAGAGAAAGAGAGAGAGAGAGAGAGAGAAAATTGTTGCGTAGTCCCCCTTTTTCAACAGTAAATCGCCCCCTTTTCTTTCTCTTTCGAGTTTCTACGACAGATGCCTCGGTTTTGGGAGAAACGAATTAGAATTAGGAATAGAAACGAATTCGTAGAATACGATGTAAAAAAAAGGGAAAAGAAAAGAAAGGTCGTGTGAATTTATCGAACGGAACTAATGGATCTTTATGAGGTCGTTTTTTATTTTTTTTTTTTTAATTAATATAAATTGAGTTACTTTTAATATAAATCTAAAATTAATGCTAAAGATTATATTACAGTCGCAAATAATATTTTATAGGTATGTAAAATGTATATATCTGGCAGATATAATACACTTTGAATATTTCGTGGATCAAGTCGTGCGAATTTTGACGTATTTATTCGAATTTCGGCGCGACGTTTATCGGGATCATCTTTAAAACTTTATCGGATCACGGTCACTATTCAATAAAGAACCAACGCCAAAACTCTCATATCTAGTATCAAAATGCAAATATCATGGGACACGGATAACGTTAATTAATAATTCGATTTCATATAGGAATTATTTAAGGCACGTTCGTACTGCATTGTCGCATTACGAACGAACTTTTTCTCGTTTCTCGCGAATTTATAACGGGGAAAGGAAATAAAGATGCCGCTTGATGTAGAACGTACGAACTTTTTCGTCCTTCTTCGTAAACGAAAATTCTCGCGAGTACATTTTCTCTTCATTTCTTTTCCCACCTGGGGAGTTCATTAAATGAAATATACGAAGTTTGAAAACGTCGTTCCGTTTAAAAATTCTTTCATTTTCTATATTACCAAATACGTTTTTAAAAGGAATAAGATATATATATATATATATTTACACTAGTATTGAAATTTAATTAGACTAATATCTACTTTCTCGATTTTCAAAACAATAACTTCTTTAAAGTTCTCTCTCTCTCTCTCTCTCTCTATCTATCTATCTATCTATCTCTCACTCTTTGTACATTAGATTTCACCCTAGGAACCATTTCGAAGTTTGGAGAGTTCTAAATCGGAAATCGAATCGAATTACATTCGCTCGTGAAACATTCTTCATCGTTAACTGGGAGGGTTGTCCGTGTAGGACCATGAAGAGGGTGATGTGGACTTTCGGTATCGTCGGTGTTTCGCCCTTTGGCACGAAGGAAGGGAAAGGACGACCCTGAAAAAGTTCTTCGAATCGTTGCCACCCCTATGGACATAGTGTATTCGCTTTCGACGCGATCCACAATTGTGTTGGTTACCCTTGTTCTCTCTTTCTCTTTTTCATTTTATTCGTATGCATCTTTCATCGAACTACCCTCACCGTTCGATTTTTCTATGAAGCCACAGTTGGATACTAAGTAACAACAAAATCCCATCACTATAGTGAGAAAAAGAGAGAAAGAGTGAGCGGGTGAGGGAGAGGGAAAGCTTGATTCCATTGAGAATTGACACCTCCTTTCGGAAATTCTAATGAGTTAATCAAATATAGAAAATTTGTTATGAAAGTGATCATATCGTAAATATTTTTCAAAAATTCAAGAATGCACAATTAGAATTAAATTATTTATATATGCGCGCACCGTATGTGTCTATATATAGTCACTATATTATTATAATATATATTATATACATATATACCATTCGATATATCTTTGAAATATACCTATCAAACGATCGAAAGAATTGTCAGATGTAACTTGGGGATTGTATACAAATAGGAAACGACAGAGGTATTGTATAAAATTGCATCGAGCCGACACGTCGAACGTGACTCGGAGAATAGTGGGTTGTCATTTACTGGGACGTCGAAATAATACAGTAGTAAGTACCAACGACCGGTCGGACGTATGTACGTGTCACGATGCATGGGCGTAGATGAGAAAACAAAGAGATAAAAAGAGATAGATAGATGGATAGATAGATGGATATATAGATGGATAGATAGACAGAGAGAGAGAGAGAGAGAGAGAGAGAGAGAGAGAGAGAGAGAGAGAGAGAGAGAGAGAAAGAGAGCGTGAAAGGGAGACAGGCATCTGTCTCTCCGGTCAGATCGATTCGATAACATCATAGAAACTCTTCGAGGCTGTCACGCGAAGAAGGTGTGCATTTCTCCCTCGCACGCAGAAGGGAAAACGAAGAACAATAGTCCTAACCCTCTTCA